TCCTGTCTTTACCTATATCACATTAAAGGCTGAGCTATTAGTAATTGCCAATTTTATATTGGCTTCATAATAAACCTACCTTCCCACTAGGTATTTTAGTATGATTGATGTGATGAAGATGGAATTGCTTCATGATATCAGACTTCACTGCTTGTAAGTTGAGGTATATAAGAGCAGAAGCAAAGAGGAAGAAATCCTTTCATTTACTTCAAAGCTTTACAGCTGACAGGGAGCTAGCTGCATGGCATTGCAGTCTGCGACTTATTTGACTGCAAGACTAAATGCCCAGGGAAGCTGCCACCCGAAACCCAGCCATGCTCTTTCATGTAGTATGGATGAGGCTTGCAGCTCTGAAATGCTGCCTGACAGGAAATTAAATTCAAGGCTTTGTTCCAATAAATAAATAAAACATCAAGAAAACATTTAGTTGAGAGAGACCACAACAACCTCATGCTGAATTAACAGAAAGGAAGCTAGCACTGCTTTCTCATTCTGGACTGCTTTATTCCTAGCAATATTGGGGTCATACATGTTAAGAAAGAGGAAATTATCTAAAGAGAAATGGTCTGAAATTAAACTTTCCCTCCCCCGCAAGCAAATAGCTTTCCAGTCCCACTCATATTCTACATTGCATGGATACTATATTATATAGGACTTTAAATAGGGGTGCTCATCCAATTTTGGTAAACCTCAGAAACAGGCCCATTTGAGCCTTGACTCTGAAGTCCCACATAGGTTCGCAAAATACATTTGTCCATAGGCGGCAGCCTCTACCTGCTGCTTGTCATTGCAATTGTCTTGCTAACAGAGCAATACAGACTATAGGAAACCAGCATAATTTATGCAGCTTTAACACAGCTGGCATTAAGTTACCCCATTCTCTTATATGACCCATTTGCAGTGCTATGATGCTCTGAGAACTGTATGCACTATTCCAAATGTGTCCACATCATACAGATTCATGTATATTACTGACCATTCTGTTTTCGGTAACTTTTACAATAACTTCCTACATTTAGTTTGATGGGTTTGCTGCTACTGCACACTGAGTTGCTATTTCTCTATTTCCAAGATAATAGGCATAGCTAATTCAAACCCTATGAGGTTATGATAGGTTAGATGTCCCTCCCAATGTGTGCCAAATGGCACTTTAAAAAACATCAGCACCCAGAATCTTATTTGCTTATTTGTTAATGTCATTCACCCAGTCTGGAGAGAGCTTTCTGAAAATTTTCAGTCTTTTTACCATTTCACCATCCTGAATAAAGTGGTTTCATCCTCAGATTGGCTTCCTTATGGCTAATTTGCATGAATAACTTGAACAGTACTCAACCTAATACAGACCCCTCAGAGAAACTGCTTCTTATTTCCCCTCATTATCCATTTGCGTTTTTATCTGCTTTTTCTTCTTTTACCATTTACTGGTACATAATAGGATTTGTCCTCTTATTCGGTGACTGCTAAATTTACCTAGGAGCCACTGAAACTTGCATAAAAAACTTGTTTGTAACCCATGTATATAACATGTCTCCTGGGCCACCAATATCTGCATGATTGTGGAAGGGAGGTAGCTCAGTGGCAGAGCATCTGATTCGCTTGCAGAAGGTCTCAGTTCAAACCCTCGTGTCACCAAGTATGGCTAGGAGAGAATCCTGCCTAAAATCCTGGAGAGCTATTTCCTGTCAGTGTCGGCAATACTGACCTAGATGGACCAATAGGACTAGGCCTATTGGTGTTGATACAGTACGTCAAAAGGCTGGTGAGACAGGATTTCCATTTCCAGAAACCATGATCAGTTGTTTTCCTTCGTCAGTACTTGCTCTTCTCCAGGCCTATGCAGGTGATCATATGAACATCTGTGGAGTGAAAGTGAGAAGGCTAGCCCTACCCACAATAAAAAGCACAAATGTCTGAACTGGTATCCTAACTGTGTTTAGCTGAATGTGATTAGAAGTCTCCCTAAGATCAAGAACCTTGTACACTGGGGGGTTGCCCCATTTTGGGACCTGCAGACCTCCTAACCAAGAGCACCTCTCTTTTATCCAGATTTAATGACTCACTCACTGATCCTGTCGCTAACTCCAGACACCGAGAACTTCCATGGCCACCCCAGAATATACTAGAAAGGAAATATAAAGCTCAGCAGCAGCATACTGATGAAAATCCATTCCCTGTCCTACCAAGATTTCTGCCAACAGTTTCATGTGCAAAAATGGTTCAGATGCATTTATCTCCTTTTCATGTCACCCAAACCCCTCTTTTTTCACCTGTCTGTGAGAGAAAATGCACTTAAGACCACATTTTGAGAAATTGAATGGCTTTTACTGAGCTTCAGTGTGAATCCATACCTACCTATGCTCCCAAAGAACACCTTTAGTACAGCATTGGACTCTGGACCTCAATCCTGGAAAGGGACTCTGTGGGCTCAGTAACAACTGTTGGGGGCAGAGATAACCCATTGCTACTCCTGGTCAAGAGCTCCTTCCCAAACCCATATTCACACAGCTGTGTGAAACAGCTCAGCCCTGAGCCAGGATAGGTAATCTTTGTAATCTCTCACTCTCTCTGGCAATTTGACAATCACAGTGTTGTGCTCTTACCACTCTCAAATTTCTTCTCATAGCATAGGGATCATTGTTTCTATACAGGTATAAATGTGTCACAATATTAAAATATCCCCGTGATCCCATATATATGCTACAATGCACCAAATATTCATTAATTGCACTGTGATTTTTAGATATCTTTATTTCATTTATTTCTTGCAATAAATGAATGTTTTATTCAATATAGTTTTGGTTTGGATAATACATTTGTGTGTTACATGCAGTTCAGGCATATTCCCAGGGCATCACTCAGTTGTTTCCAGGAAGAGGTCACTTTACTGTGTGGGTGGTAGGCACACACACACACACACAAAACAAACACACACATCCCAGAAGACAGGTAACAGTGCTTTCCAGTGTGAAGACTGATGCAAAGAATTCATTTTTAGCCTCTCTCCAATCTCCTTTCAAAAAGTGGCAATATAAAATAACAATGGTGCAGTATCTACATAGTGCTTCTGTCCTTCATTTGGTCACATACCATTTTTATGGACTCTAAGGATGCAGGTAGGACAGTATGGAATCACAACTGCTTCCTTTCATACCAGAAGGGAATATGGATTCATCCTAACACTGTGTTTAACAATATTTTATACAGAAGAGTCCGAGAAGAATCCTAATTTTGCTTCATCTGGATCGTCTTGACAGGGTTCTGTGAAATGTGAACAAAAGAGATGGCAGAAAGAAGTGAGGCAACATTAATAAAAGCATCAATTTAATAGACTGCGTAACTTTCATATTAAAGCAGTGCATTGTACATAAAACATTTCAGTCTATATTTAAACTAAAACCTGTATTTTTTTTTGAATTTTTTTTTTTTTTTGAAATTAGTAGGGTGGGCAAAGTCTCAAATTATCAATGACATAACAATGAACTTTTAGGATCAAAATGGGAAATCTACCCAGAATCAACTTGATGTGGAATTACCGTATTTGAGGTGTTGAACATGTTTTTTCAAGCAAGACAAACTTCTGCTCCAATGTGGGAAAATGATTGCTTGTACAGAAGAGCATGAGCAGAGTTCTTATTATTGCAGGGTGATTTCATAGCTAGAAGCATCCTTGGAGCATGAACAGCGCGTGAACAGCTCGTGCTGTCCCAAATGATTGGTTAACGTAGCATGGCCTGATGCTCGCATGGTCTAGTGCGATGGTCCTTATCTGCTGGCTGAGAACAAATTGCTTTGCTTGTATTTTGTATCTTTCTGACTTCACACAATAAAGGCTGTGCTGCAGTAGCTCTAAAGGAGCCAGAGCAGCCATATTTCTTCAACCCATCTTGGTGTGAGACTGATTTCTTCGGATGTCGAGCTGGCACTCGACACTCCAACACATCAGCAACCACAACACACAGCTACACTAGCACCTTTTGTCTCACCAATATGATTCTATGATTCTAATTGTTCATCTCTATCAATATTCAGATGTTGAAATTCCATGGCATTAACCTTCTAGATACTTTTTATTATTAGACTTATCAGATCATTCCTAGCTATCCATCAATGGTAGTTGGTGGTCACTGGAGCTGGTGGGGTAGAGGGCAAGGCAGACATGCATAACATGAACAGAGAGAGAGACACAGACACACACCTAGCACAGAGACACACCTAGCACTGCTACATAGACACAGCTAGGGATACATACATTTCTATGCTTCACGGTAAGATACGGGAGTTCATTTTTTGCAATATGCCACACAAGCCGGGATCTACTTATGGGGGAAGAGGGTGAATCTCGAATCTCCTGCCAATCGTCTATCAGCTGTTTACCCTTCTGTGTTTCTGGCAGGGGGGTTCTGAGAAATGGGTACTATATAGAACGGATATCACCAACGTGGTGCCCATGGAGTTCAACTCCCATCAGCCCCAGCCAGCATGGTCAAGAGTCAAGGATAAAGGCACTGCATTGGCTACCCCAGTGTAGCGTGTGGCTGGCTGGGCATCTCCTTATAATGAGACATTTCATTGCATCTTAAACTTTGTTTTGAAAATGAACCCACTAGGAAGATCAAAGAGAAGAGCACCATAAAATTTCCTTGCATGGGTGAAAATTCAAATGTATATCTGGGTCGCCCTGCTGTTCATTCCATTTGACCTCTTCTTTTTGACATAGTGCTTAGTACTTTTCTAGGATAATCATAATGTGATTCTAGTAGTTTAAAAAACTCTATTTGCTTTCTATAACTACATTTTTAAATGAAATTCATACCTCGTGCTCAGTGTAGACTTGTTCTTTATTACCGTGTTATGATGTAGGTGGAATCAAATCCTACTCGTATAACCTTTCCTATCCCTACCATACAAACAGGGAAAGTTATTTAAGTATTATATTTTAAAATGCAAAGCATCCAAGACTTCAGCTGTGATCTTTCTCCCCCACCCTGTATGTTTCACAGATGCATCCTGTTTCTTCTTTTCAACTTGGCCATAAAGGATCAAGAAGAATCATGACTGAAAAACTCTGTGGATGGCTACCAGTTTTCCTCTCAGCATTGCTATATCAAGTCTTCAAGTGGTATGTTACATTTTCCCCAAGAACAGCTTGTGGGTTGGCCTTTGAATACGATAAGAATTATGCTAGCTTCATTTTAATGTCGGGCAGTTTCTGCCACTTCTATGTTTGGGGGAAGCCTTAATGAAAGGTGTGATATTCTTTCTTTCATTCTTGTTTTAAAGGGCAGGTGTGCAGTGTTCATTTAAATACAACACACTCCCCTTCTATTATCAAAGAAATAAACAACTATCTGACATTTAGAAGACATCAGATGGCAGCCCTGTTTAGGGAAGTTTTTAATGACTGATGTTTTAATGTATTTTTAATCTTTTGTTGGAAGCTGCCCAGAGTGGCTGGGGAAACCCAGCCAGATGGGCAGGGTATAAATAATAAATTGTTGTTGTTGTTGTGTTGTTATACAGAAATGTAAAGCTAGAGTAAACATTCTCTATGATATGCACTTGATTACTCATCCTATTTGCATTGCTTCCTTTGATATGAAATGATGGGCTTTCTCATTGAAATGAATAGAATAACATAATTGATTTTGTGAAATTCCATCATAGTGGACAGTGAGAATAAATAGGTAGTTTTGGTTTTAAAATGCATAACATAACAAACAAGAACAAAACAAAACACGACATTTAAAAAGCCGTAGATTGCTTAATCAGTCTAAGGCCTGGTTGAAGAGGAATGTTTTTGCCTGGCACTTAAAGATATACAATGAGGACACCAGGTTAACAGGGGTGGCGAAAGGGGGATGTGATAGGGGTGGGTCGCCCTGGTTGTTACCACTGGGGGGAGGGTGACAGAATGTGATAGGGGTGGGTCGCCCTGGTTGTCACCACTGGGGGGAGGGTGACAGAATGCCAGGCGGCACTCACCATGGGGCCTGCTGTGCACCCAAACCATGTCTCTCTCCTGGGAGTGATGTGGTGGCTTGGGTGCCCGCAGACTCTGCACTGCCCCAAATGGTCCGCCCACCGCCTCCCCCTCAGCTGTAGGGCAGCTGAGTGGGAGGAGGCAGGCAGACTCCTCAGAGGCCCCGCGGAGCGTTCTGCCCCGGTTCGCCCTGCCTGCCCTGTGGGCGGCTGGCCCCCTGGGCACAGGGCACGCATGCCACCCCAGGCACCCGATTGTCTTGCTCCGCGGCTGCCAGGTAAGCCTCCCTAAAGAGAGCGTTCCACAAAAGATTGTGTGATCTGAGTAAAAGTTGGATTCAGCAGACTTAATCTGAGCCTTCAAAGGCATATAGACTTTGAAGAGAAAGTGGGAAAGAACTCTACCAGTTTCCTACTCCAGCTATAGGCATTTGTCAAAGGCAGAAAAGGCAACCACACACATTTACCACTTCATGATCCACAAGGCGGTAAATGGAGGGTGGAGACTGGCTCAGAGGCTTTGTGAGCAGCGAGGGAAGAGCTCAGGTGTGTCATTGTACCCATGGCTGCTGGCCAACCCCTGACATATATGAATTGGTCATCTTTACAACAACTTTATTCAGTAGTTCAGTATTACCACTTTTGATTATCGCTACAAGGATTTCTACTTTGTTTTTCATTTCAAATAATTTCAGAACCAGTTGTGAGTTAAAATACCACACACCAGCATAAAAGCAGAAGCAGATAAATTGCAACCCAGTGGAAGCCTGAGCTAGAGTAGGCAGAGTGCTGAGAGATCGTAACTTGCCAAAGGCCACCTGCTGAGTTCAGAGGAGATTTGGACTGGGAGCTTCAGATTGTAGATCTGTCTCTTAACTTCAGCAACTACAGCCACACCTGGGAAAGTACATATGGATGACAGTATAGAACAGGCATGGCCAAACTTGGCCCTCCAGCTGTTTTGGGACTACAATTCCCACCATCCCTGACCACTGGTCCTGTTACCTAGGGATGATGGGAGATGTAGTCCCAAAACAGCTGGAGGGCCAAGTTTGGCCATGCCTGGTATAGACCTTTTAAGCTTTTATATTGCACATTACCTTCTATAGATATAAAATGTGCATATAGCATGGCAACATAATGTGCACATTTTACCACTTCACATGACTTATTAAAACATGAAATTTATTTTTATAAACCACTTAATCAAAATATCTTGTAAGTTATTATTAGTGGTAATGCACCAATAAAAGCAGTAGAATTTGAAAACAATTGCGCATAACTAAATTATATGTAATAGCCATTTCCTCTTTCCTGTTGTTCATTGTCTTATAAATATAATAAAAGTATTTTCAATGATTTTTTTTTTAAATATGTAGTTTCTAAGCCATAGGGAAATGGCCTTTTAGAAACACAGAAGGCAGCTGATCTGATCTCTGTGTTACTTTAAATGAAGTAGAATAGTTTGTCTCTAAGAGCTCCTGTTGCCCTTCTATTAGAGTGTAGTTATTGATTTCCCTGTAGAACAAGAACACTTTAATCAAGCATTCAAAAATATTTTTGCAGTATTGAATAAATGCTTGCTGTACCAAGGGGATTTCAGGTTTTATTGCCAAGCTGCCCATCATGTGTTGTTTTGTTTGCATATGCCATCTGAGATAAGCTAAATGAGCTTGCTACTTTTGAACTTTTGAGTTCTTGTCAGTAGGAAGAGAGTGAGATTAGTTAATTAAGTCTTGGTTTAGAACTGCTAACCCCTTTCCAAAACAAATTATACTTTCCTGCTCCACTATCTGCTGTGAACATCGTCCTAAACTACAGGGGTACCTTGTCTTTCTAACTTAATCCATTTTGGGAGTCCGTTCGACTCCCAAAACCGTTTGAAAACCAAGGCGCAACTTCCGATTGGCTGCAGGAGCTTTCTGCACTCAATCGGAAGCTGCATCGGACATTCGGCTTCCGCAAAACATTCGCAAACCGGAACACTTACTTCCGGGTTTGCAGCATTCGGGAGCAGATTTGTTCGGGAGCCAAGCCGTTCAAGTACCAAGGTACCACTGTACCTCAAACTGAAATCAGGTTGGAATCAAGCTATATTCATAGAACCCTTGATCTCAATCCTAAAAGTAACTTTTAAAGATGGTTTCACTATATGGAAAGCACCCTGGACCACTCTGTGGCCTCCTCCCACCTCATGGCATTGCACGCAAGCACTCCTGCCAAGTTGGGTGGAGCCTGGTGCCTGTGTGAAGCAGTGTACCTCCCCACAATTTGGGCAGGTGCAAAAAGTAATGAAAGTAGGGTCACATGTGACTGCGCACCAGTATCACGAGCACCATTTATCACGAATGTGAAATAAAAAGGGCACCTTGAGGGTCCCAGAGACTCGTCAAATTGTTTCAAATCTTAAAAAACACAAAACGCCCACCTTTAATCTTACAAAATAGGATTTGAGTACTACTAGTCTAAGGTACAGGGTGATTGTTATGAGCTGTAGATTATTTTACATACTATTACTTATTATAAACTCCATTGCAGAAGTAAAGTGCAGCTAATGCAAATATTTTAAAATTATGCCTTTTCTTACTTTTCTAAAATATAAAATAGTGGGCAATATTTCCCGCCTCCCACAATTTCCCCCCAATTTCCATTTTTTCCACTGGAAAAAAATAAAGAACCTCCCCTCCCCGCCCCCCACAAAAAACCCTAAGGGGGGGAAATCCCTCTTTCTTTCATTCACATATCCAAACACTCAAGTTTTTGAAGGCAAGCTGTATGAGTCGGTGAGGATCATATTCAGAACCAAGGAATTATGAACTACAGTGTCGCTGCTAGTGAAAAGTAATTTTAAATGACTGGTGTGTTGAGAGATACATGGAAACAAATTTACCTTCAATCATATATAATGAAACTGTCTTGCTTATTTCTTCAAAGCTTTGCAACTCTCTCTGACTTTTGGCAAAGCTGGCAGAGTGGGTGGGTGATGAAAGATGATGTGCAGAAATATCCAGAGGGCCATGGATTCTCCACTCCTGCCTCAACTAATTGATACTCTTCTAAGAATTTATAATTCCTGCTCTTGACAGCATCTCTGTAATCCAGTGTGTCTGCTTAATTTATACAATTTGTTTTAATGTTTACTGGCCAATAAGTCTTAGTTTTAATAAAATCTTTCCCTCTATTTTCAGACAAATATCTCTTGGTGCCATAGCACATGGATTTCAGGACTACATGTGAAGAGGTAATGCCAAATACAGACACAATTATTGTGTTTTATTTTGATGATAAATGTGATATGAGCTGTTACAAGGAAGGCTAAACTGTATTTTCCAGTAAGTCTCACAGGGCAGAGGGAGTTATTCCAATCATTTTAGGGACTCCACTCTGGATTTGAGTAGAATTTACTCCCTATACTTTTCTTCTCCTGAAGAAAAGGCAGCAGAGATTTAGGATAAGAGTTTTCCTACTCCTAGATGGGCTACCTTCCCAGGTTGACAAGCTCCATCTGCCCCTCCCTTACCTCTCCATCCTGTGCAGAAACCATCTTCGTGGCCATTGGACCCACTATTCGTTTCATCCACTCAATCTGCCAGAGCCTGTCTTCTCATGCAATGGAAGACCCTAACTCACCAAGGGTTTGAGACCCACCAGCTACCCTCACCTGGTTTAGCTAGCCAGTGAAAGCCATTCCTGAGTTGTGGCTGCTGATAGCTTCTAAGAGCTGAGTGCTGTGCAGGGGGGGGCAGGGAACCAAAGGTGCGCAAAGCACTCCAGAATAAGCACGACGTGTCCCCCACCAGAGGTCCTACCTTCCCCTAACACCCCCAAAACCCCACATAAACAATGAAATAGTTATAACTAACCCACTGCAATTTGAGTGGACTTATCTCAAAGGAAATTACACAATAATACAATAAGTACAGTTATTCTTGCATTGAAGGGAATTGGATTAGTTGACCCTTCCATCCTTACAATTCTATGATAGTGCTGCTCAGGGAACAGAAGAAAATGGAGCACAATTCTTGAGTGTATAAAACTGGGGATATATAGCACAGGAGCAGAATAAGTTGCTTTCCTCTGTTGGCAGAAAAGTACTGGGCAATGGAAATGCAGCTTTCCCCATCATTGCAGTGCTATGACAAGAACAATGTGCGGTTGTTTAAGTACTCCCTTCCATGCAGTTCTTAGAGGGGCAATAAGGCCAAGTGGCAGGTAGGGAGGTGTGTGTGAAAACAGAGGTTTCAAATTGATTTGAATTAGCCTGCAACCTCAGAAGATGGGGGGAGAAGTAAACCTTGATCTGTGAAAATAAAATACAACATCAAAACATTACGCAGAGTGTATTTCAGGGCAGCATATATTTGCTTGGCTTTATGAAATCTGAAATAATTTAACCTTCTTCTGGTGCTAAAGAATGCCCTATTTTTGTGTATCAGCACTGCATTGGCATAGGAAAGGATGGTATTTAAATGAAGATATCATCTAAAGATGTATTGTACAACTGTAGCTTCTAAAAGGCAAATACTACCAGGGCCTTATTACATTTTAAGTTTTCCATGTAAATTAGGTTATTCTGCTCATGTGCTATCAGTCAGTCCATTGCCGTAAATGGTTTGCTTTTTTTCATGCTTGACTTCTTTGTTCAAACTGTGAATAAACTCTGCCCATGTGCATTACAATGCCGGCTTCTATTTTAATTTCATTGTGATGTTTAATTATTTAGTCTACTGTATAGTTACATGCCGCTTAATTCTTGCCCTAAGCTCTCTTTATAAAATTTCTCAAGAGATTTTATAGAGTAATCAGCCAAGTCAGAAGTGTGCAGTCAAGTAAAGCAAAATGACTGTATAAACAATTCAGCATTTCTTTTAAAAAATAAAAATCTCAGGCAGCCCTCAAATTAATTGGGAGCTATTGGGACACTCCTAGGTATGAATCAATAGGTGTGTTGTTGCTCACTCTCCAACCTTGCTTGGCTGAAAGAAGTTATAACAATAGAATTAAATGTGGTTATTAGCAAGGTTCTCCCACCTTTCCCTTTATTCCCTACTTCCCCACGCCTGTGATTTTAAGCAGAGAAGATGTTCTTATTCCACAAGTCAGGAAGCCAAAATGCAAAGAAACAACTTTTTTAGGATAACTCATTTGGATTTTGTCTGCTGCCCAGTTCTTCTGCTTGAGCTCCATTAACAGAGCAAAGGGTCTGTTCGAACAATGGAAATTCACCTAGCTGCCCAGAGTGACTGGGGAGACCCAGCCAGATGGGCGGGGGAAGAAATAATAAATTATTTATTATTATTATTATTATTAGGGCTGGTACACCCATGAGGCACAATGAGGTGACAGCCTCAGGTGACAGGATTCACAGAGGCAACACATTCAAATGTAATTGGTCAAGGCTGGAAAGGAACCAGGGAAAAGCGACTTGGTTGTGGTAAATTAAGAGTCTTGCCTGACATTTCTCAGTCACCACATCAGCTGAAAGGCCACTTTCAGGGCAAGCAGGGGAAGCAGTGCCAAGAGAGATGCAATGTTTGTGCCTCCCCCTCAGCCTGCATCCTGGCCAACCCTAGCTATGCCCCTGGGCTTGGAAAGTATGAATGGGTATTAGGGGCAAAGATATACTGAGAAGGAAAATAACTGAAACCAGAGATTTGCAGGGTATCAAATGGATACACTACCACTGTCTAAACTGCATATAAACTGCCACACAAGGAAGAAATGTGCCCATGTAATAATTACCCATTACTCATCTCAAACAGGAAAAAGATATGAACAGAAGGGACATAATGTCTGGACATTAAAAGGTAGTCTTTAGGGACATTAGACATCATCCATTTCAGATTGTCACAGTACACCTCTTGCCATTTTTTTAGTTCAAGCTGACCAGCTGGATTTAGACATCCTTTAGTTAACCAGTCTGTAGATACAAGCCATGATCTCAAAAGCACTTGGAATGGATTTGCTTTTGTGCATAGAGGAGCTATTGGATTATAACCATAAAGCAGGATGATTGGAATCCTTCATGGTGTTTCAGTGCTCTACTGTGATCCTAGTTAAGCTCCTGGCTCATGAGTAATCCTAATTAGGATTAATCAGAGGCTGTAAGCTTCACACAGGCTTGCCGGGGTGACACCTTCCATTAAGCAATGTGTAAGGTTCAGTCCCATATGCGTTGTGACACTGGATACTGAAATAAGTGTCTTGATATTGTGAAGGGGGATTTTTGCTTGCAGCATTTGTTGACATATCCATACTGAGCACAGATATGCAAATATGTGTTATTAAGTGGATCAATCTCCACAATCCAGACATGTTGCTAGTAATCAGTTTTGTAACGTCATTGTCTCAATATATCTATTTGCAACTAATAACCATAGACATTTCCAGAGATATTTTGGAATATGCTGGCCTCTGTTAAAGCTTTTCCAAAAGACTATCAGAGAAAAAGTATCCTTTTGATCCTCTAACATGAACAATCAGCATGCAGCTTGGAAACTAAGGAAACCCTTTTCTCTGTTCATCCTTTGAAGACAAAGACAGGGATTTGTTTGCTGCAGGATGGTAACCAGGAGCCTTTCAAAGTGCGGCTGCACTTAGCCAAAGATATTTTGACGATTCAAGAGCAAGACGTGATCTGTGTGTCTGGCGAACCTTTCTATTCTGGTGTAAGTATCATTTTCTTCAGCAGTTTTCAAAATGAAAACATTGTGTATGTTGAGCTTTCCCCACTCCCTTTTGCCTTCGATTGGAGGGTGTTGAAATGAAGAAAAGTTGCAAATTTTTAAAATGATGCAATCAAGTCTAGGTTGAAGTCATGAAATGCTATGGTATGGTACTTCTTGGTGTTGTTTTGGTACAGTGTAAATAATATGAGCAGCGTTCAGGAGATCACTGCAGTGAATGGTCCTAAGAAGCATTCAATTAATATAATTCACAGTCATGATTCAAGTGGAATGAGATAGCTTACTTAATGGGATTTAACTTTACTAGGTGCTATGTTGGTCTCAGGTTAAACCCAGGACTCCTGAGACAAAACAAAAACAAAAACCTTACAGTGGCCATGAGTCTCCCCCTAAGACTCCATGATTGGGCAGGGATAGAAAGGATCCAAGTTCTTAGGGACCTTGTAAATTAATACAACAACCTTGAACCTGAGCTGGTAGTGTCCAGGCACTCAGTGTAAGCTTTTGAACTCTGGAGTTATGTGCTGATAATAGTTCTGTCCTCATCAACTGTCTAGTCACAACATTTTGCTCATGCTGGAGCCTCTGCACCAGGCTCAAAGGTATCCCTACGTAGAGCGCATTGCAATAATCAAGTATTAAGGTTGCTTAAGAACTCTAAAGCCAAGAGCAGAGTGTTATGGAGATATAAAAAGAGCTTTGCTTGATCTGACCAAAGACTTGTCTAATCTAGCATCCTGTTTCCCACAGGGGCCAACCAGATGCCCTTTGGAAGTCCACAAGCTAGACATGAGAGAATAGCCTTTTCCCACTGTTGTTCTCTAGTCACTGGTATTCAGAGGCTGTTCTTTCTGATCCAGTATCTAACTTTATGTTGATGCTGAGTTACCCATTGGCTCTACCTAAAGAGAATTTAAGAGTTGCTTAAGATCATCAAACCATATCCCTGCAATTCTACCAGATCATATCCAGTTTTTGTGTTTTTTTAACATGGATTTATCATTCCCATTTGCATTTCCTTAATATGTCAGAACACCTATTACTTATATCTAGATGACATTTAAATAATGCCTTGGCATAAATGCATGATATTTTTAATTTCCCGTACAGTGTTACAGCCTACATTTCCAGAATATTGTTTTAGAAGGTAACGAGTGATGTGCTCCGCTTGGTTAGCCTGGCTGCATGTTATCTGAAGATTAAATGCACAACCCATTAGATAACATATCGATGTGAAGATGGGATTTACTTTTCCTGCTAGAACAATTGTCACAGTTGACACTTTTGAGCCCTTTTCTTTATTTCCTCAGGAACTGAGATGAGATTATAAATGACTAGGCTCATTCCAAAAGACTCTTTGTTCAAAGTATTGTCTATTTCTGCTGTATGCTATTTGAATAATTGTCTAGTGATTAGATATGGAGGGTCTGATTCAACCAACGTGGTGTATGCTAGCAGAAGCCGGTGCAAGGACTCCTACCTCTGCAATGGGGCTTTCCTCCTCCTCCTCCTCCTCCTCTTCCTCCTCCTCCTCCTCTGCACTTTCTGTGCCTCCCCACATCTAACCTGGCGGCAGAAGAGGGGAGGTTGTTCCATTTGGCGAGCAGAAATGCTTGCACTGATGGAACAATTGTTCTAGCACTACACATTTCTACCCTTTTAGCTGAACTTTGCTTCTCCCACATTTATTGGATAACTGCCTCCCAGACATCTATTGTGAGCCCTTGCTCTTAAAGGATCAATTTCACTGAAGGTTAGACCACACGGTACTGGGAGCAATTTGTTGAAGTTATGAGTTTAATGTAGATAAAATGTTATATGTGTTCGAATACGTTGGACTGGTGCAGAGGACTGGTGGTTTTCCACTCTAGGGTGGGGCAGGCTGAGTCTTGTGACTGGTTTATGAGGTATTTTTCCTAACTCGTACCCTGAGCTTCTCTGTGTTTGGTGCTATGTGCAGGGAAACAGTTTGCTCTGTTGTTTTTTGAGTGGTGTCTCTCTGTGTGTTACAGCAGAGAGAGAGAGAGAGACAACCTTTGCTTTTAAGCAGCATAGACTTACTGTGGGATCCGGGGAAGGAACTTACTGGACTTTAAAAGATGGGAACTCATTACTAATACACAATGTAGCATTTTGTTGTTCTGCAAGAGTTACTGTTTTGTAACTAAATGTTTAAACACCAAGTGTTAGGTATAGTGTCAGTGAAAAGTATCTGATCAGACTCGTGTAGAAAGAAACCCTCTTCAGCACAAGTAAAAGCTTTAAAACTTATTTCTTGTGGTGAAGACGGTTTCTTTCTACATGAGTCTGATCAGAGACTTTTTGTTGACACTATATCTAACACAATTATCCTAACCGTACAGCATCTCCAAATGTAGTATTTTCCGTTCCTTTCATGGGAATAAATGACACCCACCTACACATATGGAGAGAGTAAAATGGTCCACTCAGGGATGCTTTTGAGATGGAGTTAACCCACTGCCATTTGTCACTGTATCCATGACTCAATATTCATTTTAGGTCAGGAAACGTTCGGTGTAATTGTGGGTAGTGTTTGTGCTGCACACAGTGGCAGCTGGTGACATTTTGACTGGGTAGGGCTGCATTTTCTAAACTTGCTGTTTTCATCACGGTAGGACTTGCACAGCACATATTTAGGAAAGTGTGCCATTTCACGTGTGCAGAGTGCCATTATCACTTTCTTTCTTTAAAAAACCGCACAGCCCAAAAGATATTAATCATCAGTGAACAGGGAAAGAACTTCCATGTAAGAGGATCAAAGTATGATTGTCTTGTTTAGAAATTTAGGTATACTTTTTGAATCCATGTGTTGTTTTCAGCTACACATCTGTTCCTATTTTCAGTGGGAGGGCTGTGATCCAGCAGCTCCAGTGGATCAGCCCCCACTGTATATGTGTCAGGATTGTTTTAGTGTTCTGGTGATACAGCTGAGGTATTAGTATTGTATTGTGTATTTTTTCTGCATGCAAATGGTCTGGTTATTATTGTGATCCCCTAGGGTGTATAATAGCAGGCACCACTAGATAAATAAGGATGGATTTTCACCCCGCTTCATGGGAACATATGAGGGGCTCATTTCTGAAAATACTCCTATATGCTATTGAAAAGTGACTGCAGGTTTATCTCTGTGTTATATTGGATACCTGGACACATATTTTAGAAGAATTGCCTAGCACTAAGTGTTTGCATGTGGCAACTCATTGGCATTTGTTTTATGTAACTAATTTGTCACTTTACGATTAGAAAAAAAACAGAAAGAGCAGTTCCTTATTTTTTAATGTTGAAATTCAAAACTCCAAAATGAAGATATAGTGTGCAAGCCTATTTTCATAAGAAATATTAAATCTGAATAGAACTGAACTTGGCTTACTCTTTCAGGAAAGGACTGTAACAATTAGAAGACAAGCCGTAGGAGGATTTGGATTAAGTATAAAGGTAGGTTGCATTTCCCCAACTGTTTCCTATGTTCAATCAGAAATGCCATTTGGCTTGTGAATAATGCATTTAATGAGATCAAAAGGTGCTTGATTGTATTATTACCTGCAATTTCAATGAAAGGTCTGTATTCGCTGATCTTTACAATAGATAATCAGTTGAAAAATTTTCCCCCATAGTTAATGGAGGAACAATAGAGGCAATATCCCATTAAGATTCATTTGTACTTATAAGGTTTGGTATATATTTTAAAAGTATATTTCATCTGTGTAGTCTTGTCTTTTGTTCAGTGGTCCTTTAATTTTAATTACTTGTTAATGAACACAATAGCAGGCTCACTAAATAGCCAGTGAGTTCCCATAAACTATTTATTAATTTCATAGTTGCTTGCTAATAAGATTGAAAATAGTCCCATTTCTCCACTGTATTCATTGTATTACAAATGGAATGATTAATCTTTTTTTAAAAAATAAATTTTTATTACTTTTCCATAAGTAAAAAAGGAAACAAAGCAAAAACATAAATAAACACAAAAACGACTTCCCCATACCACCCCTTTTCTGCATTCTTGTTTCAAGATTTTCCAGCAACCCTTTCGTATTAAACTTATTTCTATTTCGTGAATTTAACTTCCATAAAATGATAAAACAACTGTAGTTCTTTATCTCTTATTACCCTGATCCTCTAATTTTCCAAATTACAACAGTTTTTAAGATAAACTTTGAATTTGTTCCAGTCTTCATCCACCGCCTCTTTCCCCCGGTCTCGGATTCTGCCAGTCATCTCTGCCAGTCCCATATAATCAATCACCTTCGTCTGCCATTCTTCCAACGTGGGTAGATCTTGTGTCTTCCAATACTTTGCTAGAAGGATTCTTGCTGCTGTTGTAGCATACATAAAAAATGTCCTATCCTGCTTTGGCACCATTTGGCCCACCATACCCAGGAGAAAGGCTTCTGGCTTTTTATTAAAGGTTCTCTTCAGAACTTTTTAAATTTCATTATATATATTTTTTTTTTATAATAATTTTTTATTGCATTTTTTCAGACACAGACAGAAAACAGTAGAAGAAAAAATAAACGAAAAATGTAAAAGAAAAAAGAAAAATCATACCCCTTCAACAGCTTATTCCAACTTTCCATCAAACTTCCCCACATCTCCCGCACAATGCATTCTTAATAATAAATTTATCAGCAAATTGTAACCTTGTTTCATGTGTTTCTTTGGTACTTTCAGTTGCAATTTAAGTTTAAATCCCTTATTGTCCATTTACCCTGAAAACAAGACATATTATCATTCTTAACATTTAAACTTTGATTCTTTCAATAATATTATCCAATTTCATAAATATTGCACTCTCGTTGCTGGGGCTAGCATTTCAGATTGTGCGTCATTTTATAGTTCATATAACTTATAAAATTTTTGTAAATAGTTCTTAAATTTTTTCCAGTCCTCCTCCATTTCTTCTTCTCCCAGGTCTCGGATTCTGGCAGTCATTTCGGCCAACTCCATATAGTCAATCAGTTGCGTTTGCCACTCTTCCAGCGTGGGTAAATCTTGAGTCTTCCAATGTTTGGCGATCAAAATTCTTGCTGCTGTGGTAGCATACATAAAAAACGTTCTGTCCTTCTTTAACACCCTTTGGCCGACAATACCCAAGAGGAAGGCCTCCGGTTTTTTAGGGAAGGTGTACTTAAACACCTTTTTTAACTCGTTGTAGATCATTTCCCAGAAGGCCTTCACTCTTGGGCAAGTCCACCAAATGTGAAAGAATGTTCCTTCAGCCTCCTTACACTTCCAACATTTGTTATCAGACAAATGGTATATCTTAGCAAGCTTGACTGGGGTCATGTACCACCTGTATATCATTTTCATAATGTTTTCTTTCAAGGCATTACATGCCGTAAATTTCATACCGGTGGTCCATAACCTTTCCCAGTCTTCAAACATGATATTGTAACCAATGTCTTGAGCCCACTTTATCATGGCTGATTTAACTGTCTCGTCCTGTGTATTCCATTTAAGCAGCAAGTTGTACATTCTCGATAATACCTTGGTCTTTGGTTCTAACAACTCTGTCTCAAGTTTCGATTTTTCCACCTGGAATCCTATTTTTTTGTCCAATTTAACAACCTCGTTAATTTGGGCATAGTGGAACCAATCTCGCACCTTATCCTTTAAATTTTCAAAGCTCCGCAACCTCCAATTGTCACCAATTTTTTCTATTAATTCCCAATATTTCGGCCAACCGGCCTCCATATTGGGTTTTTTCCACGCCTTAGCCTCCACTGGTGATAACCACCTCGGTGTCTTACTTTCAAGTAAGTCTTTGTATTTCATCCAGACCATAAAAATTGCTTTCCTGACAATATGGTTTTTGAACATTCCATGTGTTTTTACCTTGCCGTACCACAGATACGCGTGCCATCCTAACGAATTGTTGAAACCTTCCAGGTCTAGGACATCTGTATTCTCTAATAAAATCCAATCTTTCAACCAGCAGAAGGCTGCCGCCTCGTAGTATAACCTTAAGTCTGGCAGGGCAAACCCCCCTCTTTCTTTTGCATCAGTTAGTATTTTGAACTTTATTCGGGGCTTTTTGCCCTGCCAGACAAACTTTGAAATATCCCTCTGCCACTTTCCAAAACATTCCACTCTGTCCACGACCTGCAAGGTTTGAAATAAAAACAACATTTTTGGCAAAACATTCATCTTAACAGCAGCAATTCGGCCCAGCAAGGAAAGCTTCAGTCTCGACCATGTTTCCAAATCTTTCTTAACTTCTAACCAGCATTTCTCATAGTTATCCTTAAACAAGTTCAAATTTTTAGACGTCAAGTTTACCCCCAGGTATTTCACCTTCTTAACCACAACTAACTCTGTTTCCTTCTGAAACCCCTCTATTTCTAAGGGCGTCAAGTTTTTCCCCAAAACTTTAGTTTTTTGTTTGTTCAACTTAAATCCTGCCACCCGCTTTTTAAATTTCATTATAGATCATTTCCCAGAAAGCCTTAATCTTCGGGCAGGTCCACCAAAGGTGATAGAAGGTTCCCTCCGTTTCATTACACTTCCAACACTTGTTATTGGGCAGATGATAAATCTTTGCTAACTTAGCCGGAGTCATGTACCACCTATAGATCATTTTCATAATGTTTTCTCTTAAGGCATTACATGCCGTAAATTTAACACCAGTGGTCCATAACTGCTCCCAGTCAGCAAGCTCAATGTCATGCCCTATATCCTGTGCCCATTTAATCATACTAGATTTCACCATTTCATCTTGAGTATTCCATTTCAACAGCAAGTTGTACATTCTTGACAAGTTTTTAGTATTGGGTTCTAACAGTTCTGTTTCTAGTTTTGACTTCTCCACTTGGAAGCCTTTCTTTCTGTCCTGTTTAAATACTTCATTTATCTGTCGATAATGTAGCCAATCTCTCACCTTAAACTTCAGATTCTCGAAACTCTGCAATTTTACTTTTTCACCATCTTGTTCTATCATTGGAATGATTAATCCACATGAGGATTGGTTTCTCTCTCTCCCCGCCTCCAAATATCTACCTTAGAAAAGCTTAGGAAACATAAAAAGGGAGATAATTTTAAATGGTACATTATAGCTCTGAGACACCATATAAAGCAACAAATCTCTTTTGAACAGAGCTTTTAAAAAAATCTCTTTAGTACAGAAATCTTAGCTGTTATCTATGAATGCAAAACAACATTGGTATATGTTTTTCAAAAATGAACTTATGAAATATGATTTGGGGGGAAAATAAAATGTAGTTCTCTTGCATTCTCATTGAGTAGGAACTTGAAAAAAACAAAAACTTTCCAGTTCTTAAAATGAGTCTGGTGTGTTTATTTTAGCAGAACTACCTAATTAAATCAAATGCTAATTAGTGCACTATGGCTAAAATCCCATAAGAATGAAAATGGGAACAAGATTTTTTGTTGTTGTTTAAAGTCATTACAGAGATTTTTTTTCATGTCTAGAAACAGAAAAGAGAGTAAGTTGTGTAAGCGTGCCTGAACTAAGAATTTAAACATTGGAACACTGGTAGATTTTTTTTCCTTTTTTAAAGCTACTATATAATTTATGATGATGCCGAAGAAAGTTCAGAATGCTAGGGACTGGAAGACAATCAACTTCTTCTTTTTTGCAATACAGATTTCCGCTGGTTTACAAGCATAAGAAAATTATTACTCTGGACAAAATCCAAAAATTGTATTCACCTTTCATACATTCAGTTAATTTCAGATAGCTTGCTCAGTCTACCATCATAATATTAATTGCCTCAAATTACTGTTCATGCTTTTAATTGGGGTTCTGAAACAGAATCCTTGGCTGTATTTTAAAAAGAGCTAACAACAGACGTAATGACATACAATACCAGATATAGGAGAACAGAAGGAATTCACATGAAATGACAATAGGAATTTAGGGTCAACTTCTACTTTCTCAAAATCTATGTTGGTCCATTCGTGCACTTCAAAAGATGTTGACTGTGGTTATAAAAAAACCCAAATGCATAACCTGGTACTAATACTCAGCAAGCCTAAAAATATCTCTATATCCTAAAAAGAGGGGCAGGGATTGTCATTACTACACTATTAGCTTCCAGAGACCTACTTTTTGACCCTTTCCTGTGTTCTTAGTAGCTAGTCAAAGCGGAAATAGAAGCTAAGAGTCCTGATATTTTTTTCTGATGCCCTTCTGTTTCATTAGCAGTTCTCTTTCTCTCCTTGTTCATTTTCCCATATCAACTAAGCATTTTCAAGTTGCATCCCTCATGCTGTAGGAAAATCCCCACAAACCTCTCAATATCTGCATTTCATTTTTATGCTTTTGCCCAATTCCTCATGGTCTCCTCACTCACAGGATCAGGATGGACCTCCAGATGCTGTTGAACTCCCTTCCACCTGATCAAGGATTATGGGAGTTGTAGTTCAGCAACATCTGTCCCCATCCCAAACTTAAGGGATAGAGAGGTGGGCTTGGATCAGGCTAACTCATTTATGGGACTCCAAACCTTCCCATAGATCAGAGCTGCAGCTAAGGGAGGGGGAGAGGCTTGCCAGGTTTTTTGCCCCGGGTGAAGCCTCCAGAGGAGCTCTATTGAGGCTCCCCACCTGTGTGTATATATGTGCAAATATGCATGGGGTGTGTGTGCTAAATCGGGTCTTTGACCTGGGTGAAATAAAGCCCAGATTCACCCCTGCTTAAATACTCACTGCGTCCAACAACTAACTCTGACTTCCTGACCAGCTTCAAAATCACCACAATAGTTTGTACTATGCTACTGTCAGTTCCTAGTATTCCTTGTATTCCTCCTCCCGAAGTTGCTGGCTGGCCATTGCTTTGGACTTCCCACTAATCTGTGTTCTCATTTCTCTCTGTGCATGAAGTCCCAACCACGAAGCTTTGGTCTGTGAAGGGAGAGTATCTGCACCCCACCCTCCTCACCCCAAACATAAAGTTAACGATGCTCTACCAGTTAGGTGAAAACTAGTTCAGGGGTAGTTAACTTTCTGTCCAACAGAGTCTGCAACCAAAGATTATTGCCAAAACAGTATCTCTTGCATTATGAATGTTGGTGACTTGTATTGGTGTGCCAATATGAACCAACTATCATTTGCTGCACTTGATGTCACTCAGGGTTGTAAGAGTTGCTTGATGAAGTCAGTTGCTTGATGAAGTCATTGTGTGAATTGAACAGTGCAACCTTGGTTTGAAAAAGGTGAACAAGGCTAGAGATTTGAATCTTTCTGCAATAATCCAATTGATACTTTCAGAGTCTGAAAGGGCTAAAAATATAAAGGCATTGTTTGAAGAATATGAAATCTGACATTAACATTGATGTTTCAGAATTGCTTCTAGGATAAGAAAGCATAAGGACCAAAACTATGCTTAATCATATTTAGTTGAAGAGTTTGTGAGTTTTTTTATTCTGTTTATTTTTCTATATAAAAAACCCAGCACAGAAACTGAGCAGCTTATTTTAATTTCCACTTCCATTCCTCCCCCGCTTTTAAGGAAAACCTGTTACTTTTCTTAGAATTCTCCTTTTCATCTCTTATTTCTTATTCATTTTCCTACTGACTTTTTGTGCTATGTTACAATGAGAAAAAGAAAATGGAAAGCAGCAAAGAAAACCTTCACATTCATTTTAATCAAATGTCCATTATTCTTGCTTTCTATTGTATGGCTTTGTTTATCTGTTCCTTGTCAGCACGACAAAATGATCACAGCATGGCTACTGTTTCAGAACTGGGCCTATTTTTCTTATTATAAAGTGGGCTCCATATGGTAATCTCTGGAGAATCTGGGGGAACCTGCAGTGAGTTTGCTTTCTTTTGTCAACAGTTCCACATTGTTCCGTTCACACCCCGGTCTGCTGATGCTTCCAACAGACTTTTTCCCCCTCCCTAACAATGGAGCTGATTGCATTCATATGCCTATTATTAAACAGAATTGTGAAACAGAAAATCTTTACCCTTTTGAATAAAACAAAGTTAAAATGAAGTAAAAACTTCAAAGAAATGTAATAATATTTATAAACTGACAACAGGCCCAGTAAAATGTGGTTATTTTCATCTCATAGGGCGGAGCGGAGCATAATATTCCAGTGGTTGTTTCCAAAATTTCAAAAGAACAACGAGGTAAGTATCCGTGCCAGGCTACTTGCTCATGGGATCCAGCAAAGCATCACCAGGTTTATACATTTCAGACTGGGGAGGAATAACTGAATAGTTAAGAAAAAAATTGAAATCTGGGCCATAAATGTGCATGGCAGGATATTTTTAAGGAACATATGAAGCTGCTTCATGCTGGGTTAAATCCATTGGTTCATCTAGTTTGGTACTGATTACAGTGGCAGAGCAAGCCGATTGGGTGCCTGGGGCAGCATGCGTACCCTGCGCCCAGGGGCGTGGCAAACCACTCACAGGGGCATGGCGAGCCAGGGCAGGACGCCCTGTGGGGCCTCCGAGGCGTCTGCCAGCCTCCTCCCGCTCAGTTGCCCTACAGCTGTGGAGGAGGTGGCAGGCAGACCATTTGGGGCAGTGGGAGCCTGTGGGCACCCAAGCCACCGCGTCACTCCCAGGAGAGATGCGTGGCTCGGGCACGCTGCAGGCCCCGCGGTGAGTGCCACCCGGGATTTTGTCACCCACCTCAGTGGTGACACCCAGGGCTGACTGCCCCCACCACCCCCTTTCCTCCACCCCTGATTGTTTACAGTAACAGGAAGCAGCCGTCCAGGATTTCAGACAGGGTTCTCTCCCTGCCATATGTGGAAATGCTGGAGACACAAGGCAGATGCAGGGAGCACTGGGCCTACAACCCTTCCTCACACTTTGCACATTTAAAGTAAAATAGAATTTCCTTTGTGAATTTTAGGCTCACATGCTTTAAAACCCTCTTCAATACAAGCCTAATTATTGTCCCTGAACCGTTTTATATGTACAGCACAGATTATTGTAGCTGTGGTGCGCATGCAGTGTGCCAAGCATTCCCAAAATGCATGAGAAGCTTCTGTTTTCATGGAGCGCCATCTGCACAACAAAACACCCCAGAAGCCTAGGGTGCACTAATATGTATCCAATTAGGTTTCAGTCAAGTTGTGCATAAGGTTGAGGAGGAGGTGGACTGTGGCCAGCAAGAGCAAGTTCCATAGCAGTTCCCTTCTTTGGCTAGAGTTATGAGGCTGAATGCACATCACAGACTAATGTGCAAATTGGAACCTAGCTGTCCACCTGAGTTTGCACTTCTGTGAGAGTTGTGATGCTCTTCTTAGCTAACCCCCCCCCAAAAAAAATATGCATTTAAAATGTTTAGTTTGAGATCAGAGATTTATATTTAAATGTCTTTTGGGCAGATTTTTTTAAAGCACAGAAACTAGATGGAAAGTGACCGGGTCAAGAAATAGACAGATATGTCAATCTCTAGCAGAATCCCTGCAAAATGTCACTCAGATCACAAGATCCACTGCAGCCTTTAAGCCTGATAACTGTATTTAGAAACAAGAGCTGCAGCTGTTCTTTACATTTTCAGGGTTCAAGACTAGAAACATGTCCTAGATGCAAAAGGGGAAATAAATTTCCTCAATAATACTTTCAGAAAATATTAATTATCTATGTAAATGTGAAATATGAAACCTGTCATGGATTTGTTTTCTTTTGTCACCTATTTCTCATTGTCCTGCTCACATCCTGCTCCACTGATGCAGCTAATGGAAAAATACAGAGGAAAAGTTGAAATGAAAAGCACACCTTTCCTTTATTTTCTCTTTCTTTTTAGCGGAACTCTCAGGCTTGCTGTTCATAGGAGATGCAATTCTACAGGTAGGCAAACCCATTCACTTTTGCCAGGTTTTAGTCCCAAGTATAATGTGAAGTCTAACCTAAATGAAGCCAATGCTCAAAATTGTCTTTTCTTTTTTTTTAAACTCAACAGATTAATGGAATTAATGTAAGAAAATGCAGGCATGAAGAAGTGGTGAGCTTATACTCCTTTTCTAAAAACCATTGCGGTTCTTAATAAAAGTCAGCATAGCTGCACTTCTGTCACAGTGTTCATCGCTATGCTCTGTAAGTAGATCAATGATCCCAAGATTGCTAAATGATCTAACCTTTGAATATTGTAACTTTACCATAGAAATGGTTTACTGGCCTCAGTTGTGTTACAGCCTAAGGGAGCCTCTGCTTTCTTAGGATTTGTAGGTCCTTTATTTCTGGTGTGCTGTGTGTACCTCCTTTAAGCAATACTATTATGTCTGGTTAAGCAGCGCTCCCTGTACATACCAGATGTGTGGAAAGCTCTCGTGTATAAATAGAGAAGTGAGGGTCAGGGTACTGGGCCCACCCCCAACAGCCGGCACCCACACGTTGAGCACAGATGTCTACAGTGGAACTCCTTAATGTGAACAGCTCAGTATGGTTGAGGTGCCAGTGGAAGCACTTACCCCAGTGCAAATTTGTGTGTGGGTGTGGCTAATCTGGATTGGGACTGTAGCATGGAGTAAGGAGTTAAATATCCTCCCCCCTACAAGGTCTCAGTTTAGACTGAGCTTCCTCACACATCCTGTTTACTTTTTCAAAGTAGTTCACACAATTGCTAATTGCATGAATAGTTTCTCACTCAGTTTGGTCTGGGGAACCTGTGGCCATTGAAGTGTTTCTGGTCTACAACTCCCATGAGCACCAGCCAGCATGACCAATAGTCAGAGATGATGGGAGTTGTAGTCTAGCCACATCTGGAGGGCCACAGGTTCCCCAGCACTGCTCTAAAAGATAAGATGTCTTGCATAGTTGAGTGATTTAAGAATGCATTGAAGATGTAAATTCAAGGGAATTATAGCTCTTTTAAAAAGAAGAGTTATAGACTCTTACAAAATTGTGCATCAAACAGTAATGTAAAGGAGCTACCGATTTCCTAAAGAAACTCTTTTCTTTTTAATTGTATATTGCATTATATGAGGTTCAATAACGAATTAAGTTATTTTCCTAATCCCATTTCTTGGAGTGTACTTCCTTTTTAGTTTTGTGCTTATTTCATATATGGCTCATCAACTTTCAGAGTCTGATTTGTTTGCAAAAGCAGCTTAATCCTTTGCTAGGCTTCTGTATACTAAAACTGAGTTTTTTATTTACTGTGTCTTCGAGCCTTGGTGTTCCAGCAGTGATCAGATTACTTTAGTCAGTAGTTAAGCTAATGCAGAAAATCTCTCTGTGGGAGCAAAATGAGATATTGGGGCTTCAGGAAAAGGTTTGGTTGTATTTTTGAGTGCAGTGCCATATAGCTATAGTAAGTCATTGTTTTGTGTTCAGAGTCAATGAAGCAAGATATGAAATGTTTGTGAAATTATGCCGGCACCCTTGTTAACCTGATTATGCTTTCTAGGATTAATATTTCTTTTCGGTTATAATTTGCACAGCCAGCCATGCTTATATTTTAGCACCTGACAAATGCTTAACCAAAACCTTGGGCAGAGATGTAAAGTGGGTACTTGTTTGCAAACCTTCAGCCATAGAATCATAGAATGGTAGAGTTGGAAGGGACCCTGAGGATCATGTAGTCCAACCCTCTGTAATACATGACTGGATACTTTTATAGATGACTCTTCTCCTGCAACAATCAAAACAAAGCAGATATAAATGAATCAGTAATGACTGGACTGAGAAACGTCTTTAGAAAATTGAGAGGGGCACTTCAGTAAAAGGACTGTGGCAATATTCAAGGAACAGGACATCCTAAGCAGAATATGATGATTGAGCCCTCCACTCCTCCACTGTGGTGCTTATCAGATCCCGGAGCTCTTCTTCTTCTTCTCTCTTCTGCCTTCAACTAGGCAGCTATTCCTGTTCTATCTTACAGAGCTACAGAGCTCATGTCCTACACAGCCCAAATGCCCACTCCCCCATCTGGCATCTCTAATCTGTGGGCATCAGATTGTTCACCTCTGTGCCTGGCCCCAGATTCCCATCACTTTCATGCTTCTGGCTTGCCACAAGTGTTTCACATCTGGTATGTATACATTGCAGCAGCCTGCTTAGAGGTGAGTAGAAAGAGGCTCACCCCAAAATCAATTGGGATCCATTGAATGACCCATTTGCTCTTCACTGGCTGCATTCACGACAGTTTATTCAATTCTCACGACATATCCTTAACTGTTAAACTGAGCTTTCTTGCAACACACACACACACACACACACACACACACACACACACACAAACACTTTTGGAAGTATAGCAGAATATATTTTAGTGCTCATTTCAGTGTTATTGGCTTCCGGGGGGGGGGGGGACACCATTTGCAAAGAACACAGAAATGAGCGCTAAACTTGATCTAAGTCTTGTCAAAGCTTAAATATAATGCAGAAAATAACAGTTAGGAAAACAATGGGAAAATGGAATAAACTGTCTCGTGAATTGTGGGGGATTGGATGTATGTTTAGGCCAGGCATTGAATGGGCTGGATTTCTCCATTTCCCATCTCATGTTCCCAATGGGGAATCCTTGCTTTGGCATTCCTTGATGAGCCACTGCCTGTGGTCCCTTTCCTGTTGCCTGACCACCACACCTTACCCTCCTATAGAAGCAGGCCATCTGTCTTTCCTGTGCACCTGGTTCCTCAGGCTGGCCTGGCCTTGGGGGAGTGGGGAGATAAGTTGTTTCTAGCTGCTGCCCTAATATTGTTGCAAGACATTTCCCTAGTTAGTCATTTATGTACACGGGTGGCGCTGTGGGTAAAAACCTCAGTGCCTAGGACTTGCCGATCACATGGTCGGCGGTTCGAATCCCCGCGGCAGGGTACGCTCCCATCGCTCAGTCCCAGCGCCTGCCAACCTAGCAGTTCGAAAGCATCCCCGGGTGCAAGTAGATAAATAGGGACCGCTTACTAGCGGGAAGTTAACGGCGTTCTGTGTGCTGTGCTGACTCGCCAGATGCAGCTTGTCACGCTGGCCACGTGACCCGGAAGTGTCTGCAGACAGCGCTGGCCCCCGGCCTCTAGAGTGAGATGGGCGCACAACCCTAGAGTCTGTCAAGACTGGCCCGTACGGGCAGGGGTACCTTTACCTTTACCTTATTAAAGCTGGGAATTTTAAAAGTGGTGGTAGAAGGAGAGGATGTGGTGACAGAACCATCATTTCTCTGTAGAAGGCCCATATGCATTTGTTATTATCTACAGTTAGAAAGATCTCAGGTATTTGGGCTGAAAGAGGCTGTGATAGATCTTGCTGTGTGGCTCAGTCATGAAGGGATAGAATTACACACACACCAACGTTTTAAATCTTTCTTAAGTTATACAGATCCACAATTTTTTTCCTCCCACAATGAGTTCATGTCACTGCTCGACTCCCACCTTCCTTGGTGCCTGAGACAAGCACCATGCGACTCAACAGACAGGCTGGCCTGTGGCCATAGTCACCTCCTTCCTGGGAAACAAACACATTTTTCTCCCTTTCATGTATTATCCCGGAGCTCTGCTGTTTGTGAGTTCAAAGAAAAGTGCATGAAAGAAAAACAAACAAAACCTAATTATAAATCTGGTGCAAACAGATATTTGATGCACGCAAAGGCAGGTCATCTCATTGCCTCTCTGTCTTAATTTCCCTGTCCAAGAGAGCTTTGGCCCATATCTAATGAGTGTATGTTAAAATGGAAAGTGCTGTTGTTTGGAGTGCTTCACAAGCTGTTGTTTTCAGTTCTTCACAGAATATGAACTTTCCCCAAGTATGTTAAATTGATGGCAATGCAAAAATATGCTGTGTTTTAATGTGCTGTATTAGTATCAAATGCAAAGTTTTGTGGACTTCTTTTTTATTTTTTAAAAAAACCTTCTAATGCCTTGAAACTTATTGTCGCATTTAGAGAGGACTCTCAGTCCACATCTACACAGTATATTTACTTATAGGCAGTGCTTTTTTCTGGGGGTATGCAGGGGCATGCATGCCCCTAAACATTGTGTGAATCTAAGTTTGGCCTCATTGAGGGGCAGTATTTCAATATGAGTAGGAAAATGAGAGTACCCCTAAACATTTTTCTCTCTTGAAAAAAAGTGCTGCTTATAGGCAAAGACTGTTTCTTAGGGCCAAATCAGACTTGATGTCAGCTAATTGTGTTATTATTATTATTAGGATTTCATTGGGGTTTCTTTTGCTTTACCATTTATTTAGAAGATTTATAAACCTTTTAAGAATACAACAAGAAGAAAGTGGTGCACAAATGAAACTGGAGATAAAACACAGCTGTGTCCAATTAAAAACAAATATACATAAAGCCATCACAAATAAAAGCAAGTGTGTGTATGTATGTATATCTATATATAAACATGCACACACACACACAAATATACAAAGATAAAATCATTAAAACTTTTAAAACAGGTATAGGTAACTAAATTATATATCTGGGTGGTCCTGCTGAAATAAGTTATTAGCAGGTGTCTAAAACAGAATTTGGAGGGTGCCTGCCTAATGTCAATAGGCAGCGCATTCCAAAGTGCAGGTGCTGCACTTTGCAACCTCTGGCAAATGTGGAACAGACACTGTGTGGCACTTGTAAAAGTGCAAGTCACACAAATGGAAGCCTTCAAATAGGCTTCTGTGGGGCAAGGTAACACACTAAGTTAACTGGTCTCAAGCCCCATGAGGCTGAATTTTGTGGAAGTGGTCTTCTGCTGCATTCACCCAGATCCTCCAATTGTCCCTATTTTCCAGGGATGTCCCTGGTTTAGAGAAGCTTTCCTGGTTTCTGATTCGATCCCGGAATTTCCCACTTTTCTTAGGATGTCCCTATTTTCATTGGAGAAATGTTGGAGGCTATGGAGTTACCTAACCCCCAAGCTGTCTGAAGGAAATCCTGTATAAGGAAGAGTTTTTAAAATGTTCAACGTTTAATTATGTTTTATATATGTTGTAATCTGCCCAGAAGGCTGGATCAATCCAATCAGATGTGTGGAGTATAAATAGTAACATTACTATTATAGAATGGGA